TTGGGGGTTAAAATGGGGATTTGGGGTGAAAAAGGGGGATTTTGGGAAAATCCGGGAGAAAATTTGAGGAGAAACGGTGAAAAAATGGGGAAAACAGAGCGAGAAACGGCGGAGTTAGGGGCAAAAATGGGGAAGAAAGGGTTAATAATGGGGATTTTGGGGTTGAAAGTGGGGATTTTTGGGGTGAAAAATGGGGATTTGGGGGTTAAAATGTGGATTTGGGGCGAAAAATGGGGATTTTGGGAAAAAAACGGTGAAAATTTGGGGAAAATCGGTGGGAAAACGGGAAAATTAGAGCAAAAAAATGGGGGAAAAGAAAGGGTTAAAAACGGGGATTTTGGGTTAAAAATGGAGATTTTGGGGTTAAAAATGGGGATTTTTTGGGGTTAAAAATGGGGATTTTGGTTAAAAGCGGTGAAATTTGGGGGAAAACGGAGAAAATTTGGGAAAAAATGGTGAAAGTTTGGTGAAAAACGGTGGAAAAATGAGGAAAATCGAGCGAAAAACGGGGGAGTCGCGGTCAAAAATTGCGATTTTTGGAGAGCAAAATGAGGTTTTTTGGGCGAAAAACGGAGGTTTTGGGGTGAAAAATGGGGATTTTGGTTAAAAGTTGTGAAATTCTGGGGGAAAACGGTGAAAATTGGGTGAAAATCGGTGGAAAAATGGGGAAAATCGAGCAAAAAATGGGGATTTTTTTGGGTTAAAAATGGGGATTTTTTTGGGTTAAAAATGGGGATTTTTGGGTCAATTTCCATCGATTTTGGTGAATTTTGGGTGAATTTGGGTGAATTTTGGTGAATTTTGGTGAATTTTGGGTGAATTTGAGTCGATTTGAACAAATTTTGGGAGGATTTTGGGTGAATTCAATCGATTTTGGTGAATTTTGGGTCCCTATTTAATGAATTTTGGGTCAATTTTGACGAATTTTGGGCGATTTTGGGTTGATTTTGGGTGATTTTGGGTGATTTTGGGTGATTTTGGGTGATTTGGGGTGATTTTGGGTTGACTTTGGTGATTTTGGGTTGATTTTGGGTGATTTTGGGTGATTTTGGGTGATTTTGGGTGATTTTGGGATGATTTTGGTTGATTTTGGGTGATTTTGGGTGAAATTTGGATGATTTTGGGTGATTTTGGGTTGATTTGGGTGATTTTGGGTGATTTCGGGTGATTTTGGGTGATTTTAGGTGATTTTGGGTGATTTTGGGATGATTTTGGGTGATTTTGGGTGATTTTGAGGGATTTTGGATGATTTTGGGTGATTTTGGGTGATTTTGGGTGATTTTGGGATGATTTTGGGTGATTTTGGGTGTTTTTGGGTGACTTTGGGTGATTTTTGGTGATTTTGGGTGACTTTGGGTTGATTTTGGGTTATTTTGGGGTGTTTTGGGTGAATTCAGGTGAATTTGGGTGATTTTGGGTTAATTTTGGGTGTTTTGGGGTTGATTTTGGTTGATTTTGGGTGATTTTGGGTGATTTTGATGATTTTCGGTTGATTTTGGATGATTTTGGGTTGATTTTGGGTGATTTTGGGTGATTTTGGGTTGATTTTGGGTGATCTTGGGTGATTTTGCTTGATTTTGGGTGATTTTGATGATTTTGGG